TAGTGGGGTGTGAGGCAGAATCACACATGCCATGATAACATGCCATGGAATGGTTTTCGCTAGCCAATAAATCTACTCAAGACGCAACATGTCTTAACCGCACGCTATGCATGATCAGGATTGACATAAAACAGTCGATAAAACATAACTCATTGTTTAAAGTGTAGATTAGATCATTTTAGATTAGCAAACGATAGGCTAAACAAGATATAAGGCTGATCTAAATCAATCCCAATCGGGCAGATTGATATTGCTGTAATTAGATAAATAATAAAAGCAATAAGCAATATCGGTAACTTAATGAATCTACCAAAGACTGTCATCCTAAGGTAGAGCCGATAACTTGACCTTGATCTAGTTCATGTAGTGGGGGTCAACCGGATCGATGCAGCCATACTTGAACTAGGCAAGAATCGATAACTAACTTATACCAGAGTCGCAGTGGAGATCGATCGGATCGATGCAGCCGTATGAATAGAGATATAAGCCATGACGGTACTTACAACAAGCAGTGGAGGTCGACCGGATCGATGAAGCCATACTTGCTGAAGAACTCACCGAGATCTACTCTACTCCTACTCCTAAGGGGTGGCCGGAGCCAAAAAAGTAAATAACTTATATATTGGATTGATTGTTGTTCTTTACAATAGCCGGGGCTTGATATTTGTTCCTAGAACCTACACATGACTCCTGTCTAAGCACGACTCATCATAATTTTTGACCCTAAAGAAAACATTCCTAATTTAAGATAACTTGGACGCTAATCTTTCCCTTTTTGTGGAGTCCAACATGTTTCGCCCTGACATCGAATGTAGCCTTTGTCGTTATCCGCTGATGCTATCTGAAGAAAGCCGATTCTAGTTTTTGCATCCGAATCAGCTGGTTCTGATCTGCACGTAATTGATTCCTTGATGGCATGATCTTGGGAGCTTTCGAGTCCCTATGACTCTTCTTCCAAATTTTGGTGTAAACAGCTGGACCCCTTGACAGGAGTGGAATGGGTTGGTCTTGTTTGTGCCTAGGGTACAAACGGGGCATGTGTTTCTATGTACCCAGCTAGGATACATTGGTTTGTGAATCGCCATTTCCATGAGATGGTACAACTTGGCTATGGTCTAGCACCGTAGTAAGAACTAGAAGATGAAAGATGGTGAAATGGTTCTGATTGCTTAACTCTTGCTTGAAAGTAGAATAGGTGCTTACTTAGAATAGTTAGCTAATGAAGTCATCATGACTGCTAATAAAACTTGATCTTCAGGACGTACTCCTAGTGATGCTTTTTGCAAACAAAAAGAAAACAGCAAACCCATATTGCCTATCATACTCCTTGGAGTCGAGAAACTATTCCCACTAGTCGGGTAAGTCATGTGAGTACATTGTGTACTCAGGGTTTATTTTACCCCTTTTGTAGGTGCAGCTTGAGGAGTAGCTCCTGTGTGGAGGATTCTTCTGGTGGGCACAAACGGATCCATATATCGTTTCCGCTAGATATTTATTTTCATTCCGCTGTTTAATTGTCGCACTCTGAACTCTAATATTGTAATAAATCATTTCCAAGAACTCTTGTTGTATGAAATGGACAAAGTATTGTAAGCTCGTACTCATTATTGAATTCTGGATGTAAAACGTGGATTCTTTTGAGTTCTCCCTTAGGGTGTGCTCGATGGAACTGTCCGATGTAGCTAACTTTTAGGGTGTTTAGTGTCTAGTGGAAGACGAGCGTCTCCGAAAGCGTGTTATTTCGGGTGGTTCTGCCACACATTCCATCATGTTAAGCATAGCATCATTTATATGTGTAGTGCATACGAGAGTGAGAAGATTTGTGTCGATCAAGTTTCGGAGAAGGTCTATCTGCCAGTGGTGTTGGTGCCATGTTTGACTTATGGATCTCTTTGTGGAATTAACCTTCTTTGCAACGCAGGCAAGCCTCGGTGCATATCACCCTTCTATAGCGTTTACAAATCTTTATTACACCTTAAGTTCTTGTGAGATGTGCTTTAAGTAATTAGGAGTTGGTCGAATACCGTTGCTGCATGATTACCTTGATATTCAGGTATCCTTAGTTCTACCATGTTAGTATGAATAGGTCGATATCTCTGATGCTTAGTAATGCTTAGACTTCGATAGAAGTCGAATGATGGTTTCATCATTCGCGAGAAATAGGTTTTACCTTGGTTCTTCTTGGCTCTGTTTATGGATCGTGAGAATGCCATGATGATAATAATGTTTAAATTGAGACCGGGCGGGAATCGATGTTAAGGTAAGTGTTGGGCAGTCAGGTTCACCTGGTTGTGCTCGTCCCACCTGTGTTGATTAAGGACCATACCGCTGTAGACCTGTTGTGAGTTGAGACCTTGTAGTACTGGCCACATACTCTAGTAAGCCTGATACCTCGGCTATTCCATTATGTGAAAAGACAACTGTGCACTGGGTGTTGGAGATGGTGAGAGTAGCGTGTACACATCCTGTGAATCCACCAGGAGTGGCGCAAGGAGGTGGAGTACTATGCTCTCAGGTAGCGTAGACCGGATCACATTTTAGAGGATCCGAGTGAAGGTTGATATATGTAGGTTTGGGTCCGAACCTAGACCTGCATATGTCGTGTGGTAAGGAAACCCCAGCTGGGCCAATCGATTCGAATCACCGTTGCTTCGCGGAGAAGAAGACTCGATTCTCTGCTCTACATCGTAGTTAATCTATGGAACATGGTTACTTATGGATATAAGATAAGATGAGATGAGATTATTAAAGAAGTGATTGATTTAGATCGGGTGCAAACTGGATACCTTAATGTCTTAATACAAAGCTAAAACATTAAAAATAAGGATCCACTTATAGTAAACTTTTTCGCAAAAGTAATTCTTGCTTTAAACTTTCCTTAAGCTTACATGCCCTTGGAGTCTTTTCTTTTAGTCGGGTAAGACTTGCTGAGTACCCTAAAATACTTAGGGTTTGTAACCCCTATTGCAGGTTCTGACTAGTGCTGCTAATTGAGATCGTGTCGGTGGGCTCGACATGATTTGGCTGTCTCCTCTACTTTAGATGCTTGACCAAAGTTGCTTCCGTAATTCTACTCGCCTTTTGAACTTAAGTTAAGATTTGACTTAAATGTTTTGCATACTAATGTTATAAGTCTTCCGCACTTTGATGTAAGTTATTTTTGTACCAAATGTTGTAATGTTGTGGCAACTCCATTGTTGATCCTATATGAGTTGTAAAATATGGATGATTCGGGGTTCCCCGAGGACACCCGATAGACTACCGGAGTTATCTGGCTCTCGTGTGCAGCAGTCAGAGGTATTTAGGACAACGACAGGTGCACGTGAGCCATATAATTTGGGTGGTTCTGCCACAGCCGCTCGCCGGGGGCACCGCACGCGCCCTATCACCGGGCAGCGCAGTCGCCTGCCCGCTGCCATCCTCCTTCTCCACCGCGACCACATAACCGGATCACAGTGTGCAGTGCTCCGCCCGTCCCCCTGCCAGGTTTTGCTGAAAATGCATGTTGTAAACGTATTTTGAAGTGTTTCAGATGTCTCAGATGTATGTTGCAAATGTTTTAGATAGATATTGCAAAAGTACATCGATATATTGTAATGGTTGTACACGTATGTTGCAAAGGTATGTTATCAATGTTTTATCTGTGTTTTCGGACATATGTTGCAAGTGTGTTTATCTGGATGTTGCATATGTTTTATCTTAATATTGCGTATGTTTGCAATGGTTTTCAAGTGTTTTAAAAACACGTTTCAACTGTTTCTTCTGTGTTCTTTTGTATTTTGCAAGTGTTGCATGTGGATGTTTTAAAAGTAGATCGAACGAGTGCAGCGGATCTCCATCTGGTCAGTGTAGATCAGATTTCCGGCGGTGTTTCTCGACTCCACGGTGGTTAGTCGCGGCGGGCAGACCACATCCCTGCAGCAGTGGTCAGCGGCAGCTTGAGGTAGCTCTCAAACGGGTGCCTTCGGGCGACGCGGGCCCTGTGTGGGCACGTAAAATGGTGTGGAAAGCGAACTGTAAGCGCGGACGTCCGGATGTGCGGACGCTCAGCCCGATCGGCTGGGGCTGGCTGGCTGGGCTGGCTGGCCAGCCTCCTCACATGGATACTATTCACATAAACCAGCCAGTAGTACTTCTCTCACACATAAACGAAACAACAACGATACGAATCAGCCAACCAAACTATCAGTGTCGTGTACCTTTTCAGAGTTAGCCCTTCGATTTAAATTCATTGCCTTCCACTTCCATCTTCCTATGATGTGACGATTGGACTGTAACAGTATAACTGTAAAATCCTTGCTGCTGATCCGGATTTGTGGCTTTGTTGAAAACAGTTCCCTGGATTATCGTCCAAATTAAAGGCCACATATACACTAGCACCCATTCGAATAGGACTTTAGCTATAATCCTATACGTTTATTCTTTCCCTTCCACTTTTGTTTATAAATCATAACAATGACACGTTTCTGTGCTTCCTTAACAGCTAAATACAACCTTTTTTTTAGGTAAACGTGATAAGTCAAATAGTAATCTGCACAGTTCAAAACAATTGAACTCACAGGAAATCAGATTATCCATCCACCCCCTCTGAGGATCTCAATCCTTGCTTTGACAATTGAACTGTTTATCCTTGTCCCTAATCTATCTTTAACTTAGCAAACAGATCAACTCAGAATAAATACTTCACTGAAACATCCTCTAAAGCCCACTGAGCAGTGAGCACCACCAGTTCTCTACCTACAATTTGAACCTTTGCAATTAAAAGTATAATTCAAAGACAAGCCAACCAATCATCCTTAGTTCCAAGATCTCAAGGGAATAACCCAGCCATAACCAACCACAAAATTGACTGAAAGCTTGCTACGGAAACAAGTATACACCTGACCTGTGTGCTCATCACTTACTGAAAGAGTGAAACAAAGAAACCATCCACTGATGGTTGCTTAATTAAAAGACAGCACAACCAGTGATGAATGCAGAAATTCCCAGCTGAGCTGAGTTCATTCGCCACTCGTGCGGCTGTACGGTCTCCACGCGTCAACGGAATGCCGCAGCTCCGGAGGTAGCCGCGCCTTCCACGCGACCGCCACCTCCGGCACCGTCACCGGCGGCCCGGTCATGGCCACCCAGCTCTCATCCACTTCCATCACCGACACCATCCCGTCTCCGAACGCCGTGGCCATCGCCCGCAGCGTGGCGTCCTTGACCGCCTCACCGTGCCTCCCCTCCTCCTCGGCCTCCACGCACGCGCCGCCGCAGTTCACCATCATCCTGCCCCCGCGCGCCACGATCCCGCCCAGCCGCCGCCACGTGTCCGGCTCCTGGAGTTCCGGCAGCACGCTCCCGCCGGCGAACAGGTCGACCACGGCGCCGCCGAAGCCGCCGCCGGGCGGCGCCCGGGCCGCCAGCGCGTCGCCGACGTGCACGGACAGGCGCGCCGCGTGGTCCTTCTCCAGCTCCGCGAGGTCGAAGAAGTCGCGGGCGACGGCAAGCACGGCCGGGTCCAGCTCCCAGCCGTGCACCGAGAGGTCCGGGTAGAAGTGGAGCAGCGCGCGCGCGGCGGAGCCGGCGCCGAAGCCGAGGACCGCGAGGGACGCGCGCGGGAGGAGAGGCGGCAGCGTGGCGAAGGTGTCGAGGTAGGTGGCGGTGAGCGGGGGCTGGCCGGCGCGGCGCGGGAAGGAGAGGGAGTGGATGTTGCCCGGGCCGTCCAGGAGGAGGAGGCGAGCGCCGGCGAGCGGGTGGCCCGCGGCCCGTGGGGAGACGTCGGCGACGCGGATGTGGTTGTAAGGGGAGCGGATGTCCGCGACCAGCTGGAGCTCGTCGGGGAGAGGGTGGACATGGACACTAGGGGATCTTGCGGCGGCGACCGTGGCGTTGGTGCGCTTGAGGCGGAGGCGGAGGCCGCTCGGCAGTGGATTAGGCGCCAGCAGCGCCATGTCGCCGCGATTTGTTCCACTTGCTTGTCGATTTTGTTGCTACTAGAAGAATACCCGCCTGTAACCGCGGGATTTTTCTTTTAGAAATAGAATTGTTTCACCATTGAATTTATGTAGTACTGAGATATACTGCTAAAAATGGATAAGCTAATAGGAAAATCAAAAAAAACACTTTTAGAATATTATATAAAAATTTATAAAAAGAATGCAACGGTCAAACAAATAGTACAACATTACTGTCTTGTATGTTTGTAAACTGAAAATAGTAACTGCACTTAGTAAAAGATGGTATAGCACTTATTAAAGGATAATACGACACTTAGTGGAGTAAAATACGCAAATAGCTTGCATATAGAGATTAAATGTTAGTGGAGTTTTTTTAATAAAAAATATAGATTACATAGGAAATATAAATTTTATCTCTAATAACTTAAGAGAATTACTTCGTTGCCACTAAAAACTATACCACTTCCTTCGTTGCCATCAAAATTTCTAAATTTTTCTCGCTGCCATTAAATATTTTTTGTGTTTCCCTGGTTGCCATTTCGGTTAAGACCTATTAAGTTATAGCCGCTGACAGTTGGGCCCCACCATTTACCTCGGTTATGGTCGTGTCATCCCCGTCCCCGTCATTGTCTTCGCTGCAGCGCCGCAGCCAATACAACGCGATGGTTGGGCCGCCATCCCCGAGACCCCGAGGTCGGGCAAGCGAGCTACTTGACCTTGTAGCGGCAAAGATCGAACACGCTGGCAAAGCGACGATCGGCGCGCGGCGGAGAGTCGGCTCACAACGAGGCCGTGGGCGACCTCGCGTGGGGAGCAAAGACGAAGCGGACCTCGCGTCTGCGCAATGCCGGGAGCTCAAGCGTCGCGAAACCCACGACAATGGCGCGGTGCGGTGGCGGCGCTACTGCTTTGGTGCTGCCGGCAGACCTCGCGTGGATGCAGCGGGCGAAGCGCCGAAGCGGCAGCGCGGGGACGCGATGACCCCGCGCGTGGCACCAACGAGGTTGCGGGCGGCGGTAGCCGGCGCTCCGTTGGGGCGCGACACGCCATCGCCCCGCCTCCTCCGGTCGTTAGGCGGCGGCGCGGGACGTCGGTCACGGGTCTCACGCGTCGGGTCACCGAGGCGATGGCGGGGGCGTCGACCGTCGGGTTGCCGAGGCGGACATGCGGATCACCGATCCAATTCGATCCAGCGTCGCGACTGCGTCGAGTCGGACCTAGGCGGCGTCCGCGATCGGGGTCACGTCTTCCGTCGGCCATCGGGGAGTTGAGGGAGGCATCATCCGCGTCGAGCAAGACCCTTTCAGCGCGGGCAAGGTCAGTGTCAGGCGGGCGCCGTCCGCGACGGGTCGAGGCCTCGGGGGCGAGCACTGGCCAGGGAGCTCGTGCGTCGATGTGGTTAATGTCGGGCGTGGACGCCGAAGTCGACGCCAGTGCTTGTTTTGCGTCGTTTTTGCAGGATACACGCTGTCCTCTTTCAAATTCTAGCCTTCTAGGCAACGGCGCGGCGTGATACGTGGCCAGCAGCAACAACGACCAAGCCTCGGCCACACAGTAGCGCATGCACCTCGCTTTGGTGGGCGGACAGCCACGGACTTGCAATGAATCTGAACCAATGTGCTAAAGTAATCAATCCACAACCCGTATAGAACCAGTGATGACGGTTTGGTTGACAAACCGTGAACAGGGCTAGCCGGGGAACCAGGAAACACCATTCCGTTTCATCAATGGCAGAGAAGGGAAGAAATTATATATATAGATGGCAGCCAAGGAAATAATATCTAACCATGTAATGGCAAAGGCAATGAGGGGATCAAAATTTTCAAATAGATAGCAGCGAGGGAAATCTATAATTTTGATGGCAATGAAGGAATTGCTATAGATTTTAGTGGCAACGAAGAAATTCTCTCTAATAACTTTGCTATTCTAAAGCTTGTACTGTAGTGCATGTTTGATCAACCCAACTAAAGTTTTGCTATCTAAAATTTCAAAGATAAATTTTAGCTAGCTAAAAAAGTTCTCCCAGCTAAACTTTAGCTAAGATGTATGGATCATCCAGCTAATAGACTCAGCTAAACTTTAGCTGGGTTTAGCTGAGTTGAAATAGTTAAACTCAGCTAAACTTTAGCTTTTTAGTTAGGCCCTTTCGATCTCTAACATCTAAATTTAGCCGACTAAAGTTTAGTTGGCTGATCCAAACAGTCTCGTAGTTGTAGGCAAATTGTAAAGTTACTCTTTACTCGGTTCCAAATTATTATAGTTTATTTTAGTTTGTATTTAGTTAAGTTTATTTTAGTTTTGATCAAATTTATAAAAGAAATACACCAACATATACACTATTAAATTATTTTTATTAAACTCTTTGAGCAAAAGGAAATGTTTTGATTGTATATGTTAATATATTTTCCCAAAAAATTAGTCAAAGTTAGAGAAATTTAGATTAAAAGAAAGCTAAGGACTTGTTTGGAACACATGATTTACATGATTTATACATGAATTTCGTAGGAATCGTTTTAATTTTATAGGAAAACACTGGAATCGGAAAAAAATCTCGTGTCCCAAATATGGCCTAAACTACTAAAACGAACTAGTATAATTTGAAATGGATGAAAATAATGTTTATTATTGTCACGTTGATGTTATTGTTATTGACATTGGGGCACAAAGTTTAGTAAGGCTGAACTAGGCAAGAAGTGCACACGCATCTCTTGCAACCTACTCTTGGGTTTTCTTTTGGTCCACACATGGAAATTCTTGTTGAGTCCAGCACAAGCTGCATATATACCCTCCAACAACTCAGTGTTGATGCTTTCTTGCTTGCACTCAAGCTCATGCTAATCTTGTAAGTAAAGTTGGGCAGAATTTAGAACACAGATGAATAGTTCATCTCACCACAGAGAATGCATAGAAAGGGTATAAAACGTACCCGATACCGCCTCCACAGAGAATGCATAGAAGCCAGGACAAGCAAACGGTCGCTATGCCCGCTAACAGGCGATGGTAGGTTGACAATACAAGCACAGACAGACTGCATGCAGTACAAGACCGTTGACCTCATCCCAATCCTAAAGTACACCATGAGAGCTGTACAACTTTATGGTAAAATGGTGTAGGTGGAAGCACGAGGGAGAAGACTTGAAAACCCAAAATACCCGTCCCCGGAAGACATGGTGTATGTTGCATTTGCCTTTAACTGAACACCTTGGGTCTCCTTCAGGATGATCAATCCTCATGCGGCAGCAACAGTTTCTCACTCTAGTAGGTACATACAACCTCTTTTTCATCAGAGCTACATCCAAACTTGGTGATGAAGGTGTAGCTGAACAGTCATTTATCTTGCAAGTTGGCAGCGAAGGCGCCTTTGGGAGACTTCTGGATGCCTCGATAATGACGCTTGTCTTCAGCAGAATGACCATAACCATCAGCTTCACACTGACATGTGACATACATACAAGTTCAGGAAAAGAAGATCGTCACGAAGCATTTCAATTGGAGCTGTTTCTTGAGATAGGATTATAGGAATTGGCAGGCAAATGCATTATGCTCCTATCATGGGCATGACTAGGAGGAAGGAATGAAGGAAATAATGTATGCAGATGGCAAAAAGAAAACAGTTCACCGCCCTGTTCGCTTGGCTTATAACCCGTATTTTTTCAGCCAACGAACAATATTTTTCTCTCACAACAAATTAGCCAACAGTACTTTCAGCCATGGCTTATTAGCCAAGCGAACAGGGCACACGTACGTACCAAGTGAGAAAGCATATCGACGGTAAGATCGACGTCAAACTCCTGGAGCTTCAGTGCATCAATGATGAAGTCAACAGAAACATTTGGGAACATGTGGGAAAGATATGACACCGCACTCGGGAGATGAGTATCCAAATCACTCCCCAAATATTCTGATGAATCGAGTGCCCTATCAGCAGCCTCCCCTTTGGAGAAAGACTTGGCGGAGACGTTGAGCTCTGCAAGGCTCTCAGCATAGAAATCCAGAGAAAGCGAGTCCGGGAGATGGTACTCGGCAGACTTATCAGGAGTAGTCTCATTGTTTTCATCAGTTCTACCAGTCTTGTTGCTCTCAGAGTCAGTCGTTTGATTGAGCCTCTCTACCGCAAAGCCAGTCATGGAGGAAGGAACGAAAGGAGCGGCATATGGATTCAACTGAAAGCCCCAATCCATTTTTTGTGGTTCGCAGGACCTGTCAAATACGCAATGGAATATCAATGCAAATTGGCATGAACATGGAGTAGTGTTATCCTATCAACGCTAAACCAGTAGTTAGGCACTTGTTGTTTAGCCATTATTCAGACAAAATCAGCCATATAAACGGGCAAAACAACCGGGCAGACCGAGTGCCGGAGGCTCCCACATGAGTGGGGTCTGGGGAAGAGAAAAACCGAGGCAAGCCTCCCCCAAAATCTGCGAAGAGGCTGCTTCGAACCCACGACCTGGTGACTCAGTGAGACAGCTCTCACCACTGCACCAGTCTGCCCTTCAAACAGGCAAAACAACCGATTAAAGGAAATGGCATACCACGACAACCGTGTAGCGTTTAAACGGTATGTAAACAGGCTAAACGGCCGTTTAGACGAACAGAAGGAGTCGCGACTTTCGAAATGAAAGGCATGATGGCCTATGCAAGCTCATTCAAATAAGCAGAAGAGGTCACAGTTTTCCTAAATGAAAAATTAAACTTGGAGAGCCTGATCAAAGAAAGAACATACACGAACATACTATACGGCCAAAAACATACAGACACCTATATGCAGTATCAATTTTCACAACACGGGTAATCATGGACTCATGGTCATGTCAGGTCCTAATTTGAATTTTCATGTGCACCGAACTTCACAAATTCTTTTCCAGTAATGCGTGTCTGATGTGAAAATCACTTTCAATTAGATTTTCCGATTTAATCAAGTAACAGGTTTTGTAATAAAATTGCTAGTAAAAAGCGCAAAATATTTTTTACCGGCCAGACACGTGATAGAGAAATGAAACAGGAGCAGCTTGCGAAGTGTGGATAATATAATGCTGTAGATTATTATATACTGGTGCAGGCAGAAAACACATGGACAAAATCCGAGCTCATATCACACCCTAATTTCAGCTAAAGTCCAAGCAAGTAGCTCAATGCATGATTAATATGCCGAATGCCCTTGAGGCCAGGCGAGGCGAGGCCACATCTCAACAAACCAAAGGCGACGAAGCCAGGACGACCAAACGCGACGCCGAGGAGAGGCTGTCCCGAGAAGAGAACTAACGCGCGCAAGCCGGCAGGCAGGAAGCTAAGAGGGCGCAGAGCCGACGACGACGCGAGAGCAAACTACGGGCGTACCTTGACATTACGGCGGGCGGGGGGACGGCCGGACGGGGAGTTTGTGGCGGCGGCGGCGCGTCGGGCCCGGCCGATTACTTCGTCAGGAAGGAGGACGAGGAGCCGGGGAGATGGGGACCGACCGGGGGGTAATAAAGCGTGCGTGGTAGGTGGGCCCGGAGCGGGGGCGGAGGCAAACCGCCGCGGCGCCGCCTGGACGGCCGGAGATGGGCGCGGGTCGTGGATGGACGGCTGGATGGCGTCTGCTTAAGCTGGCCTGCGTCTATTAATGGAGCTCCGTGCAACTTTTTGGAGGGTCCTTTTTTGGCTGAATTTAAATTAGCAAACTCCGCCATTTTTGGCCCGAGGCCATTCTGAACTCTTGAAGCTTGCGTCATCGAGAAACCCATGCAATGCAACTTCACTGTAGCCGATTAGCCGGATGGCATCTGCTGGTATACTTTAGGCATGTTGAACAGAGCCAGGAACCGTTCCGGCTAGGAAGCTTATACAAATTAGGGCCTGTTCGGTTCCGAGGATTAACATCCTGGAACCGTTCCGGCCAGAAATGTTTATTTAAATTGTATATAGCAAACTTCAGCAGGAATCATTCCGGCTAGTAACGACTCCAAACGAACGAGCCCTTAGAGAAGCAATTTGCCTGGATTAGTTCCAGACCATGGTTCTCCATGAACCAAAGAGGCCCTTAGGCGTTTTTCGGTTCTTTAGGAACCATGCCTGGAATAATTCAGAAATACTAGACGGATTTATATAATCTTTGCCTGGGCTGAAACAATTCCTGGGGCACATTCCTAGCCCTTAGGGTTCTTCGGTTTGGAGAGAATTGGAGGGAATGATGGAAATTCACCACTACCATACGAGTCACTAAATCATCAGCTAGTACAGGCTGAGGTACTTTGGCAGCTCGTTAGATAATACTCCCTCCATTCTAAATTATAAGTCGCTTTGATTTTTTTTGTTCATTTATTATGTGATGTATCTAGATATATTATTTATCTAGATGCATAGCAAAATAGATGTACTAAAAAAGTCAAAGCGACTTATAATTTCGAACTGAGGGAGTATGACTTACTTTTAGAGTTCATACGGGTTCAAGCTCATATTTCATGGCAACAGTACGTAATTTGCTCAATTCTTGCCTTTGATTATCCTAGCCTATGATTACCTTGATAGCTTGATTAGTTGTTACCAATAGTGTCCGATCGAAATTTTCGGCAGCACCACGGTGGTGCTAGCCAATTCTTTTTCTATCTTATTTTTATTTTGTCCTTTTGTTATACCAAAGTTATGGACGGTAAGATAATTATAAATTACAATTTTCTTACCTATTAGTTCTCACTATTTAATGCAAAGTTCTTTTATAATATCTCTACTCCCGCAGCAACACACGGGGTATTCATTTGGTATTTTCTATTCCCTGCGTCCACGAAAGAATGTAATTCTCGTTTTTCGAGGAGTCAAGCAATTTAAACTTGGACTAAATTTGTATAAAAAATACTAGCATTCATGATACAAAATAAGTATCATTAAATTAGTTATAGAATATATTTTCATAATAAATTCATTTGGAGTCATAAATGTTAATATTGTTTGCTATAAACTCGGTCAAACTTAAAGTAGTTTGACTGGCACGGTTCCCATAATTGCATCCTTTTGCGGACAGAGGAAGTACAATCTTAACCAAGTTTGACCAACATGAATCCGGTAGCGAATACTCTTTTTAGGACGGAGGGAGTACTCGGCAAGCAAGCAGCATCAACTAGAAGTTTGTATGAACTGAGTTCTAGGGTACAGAAAACCGATTACAAAATACCATGGAATCAGGTGGACAAACATCAACACTCCATTTTACATAATATGATAAGAACATTCTGTCCATAAACATAGGACACGGAATTAATACACACATCAGTACAAAACCCCTAAGAAACTTATAAGAGTCATGCGACATTACTCATAAATTAGCTAGTGGTAGCTCTAATAGGCAAACAAGTGTAATAATAGTTGATTGTCTAGGTGCTTCACTCTCTAGGCCACATCTCACCAAAATCGTATATTACACATACATTATGCTTGTGCTTGGGTGCTTTAATAGCAAGATCTTAGGGTCTCGTACTAGTATGGGGTCTCGTTCTAGAATCCACCCTTGTAGTACTACCGCCTAGCTGATTTCATTACATCATCCATGATAGTAATCGCTATCAGCAACATGACCAGCCTCATATAATGCACCGTTCTTGGGGTGTTTCAATCCACGCCCACAAGCATAGCAATGCTTAGCATCGAAAAAAAAACCCCGTTCTTACCATTATCATATTTACTCCCACAAAGTCCACCTGAAAAAAAGAATGAGAAACATTATAAATAACTTGAAATTACAGGGAAGGAAATGATATTTTGGACTTACGGTTTTAGAACAAACCAACTGATTTTCCCCCTCCAGAGAAAGCACACAGGTTGCTATATAGGTATTGTGGTGGAATCGTAACTCAGCAAAGAAAAGCTCCTCTTTTGAATTTTCCTGATTTGCTTTTGCTGTAAAATTCACATGACCATAGCAGCCATTCATATCTATTATTCCATCGCTTGTGATAGCATCAATTAACTCATATTTAACCTAAAAAGTTAAAAAAGAAAACAGATATAAAATTGTATAGTGTGTAATCAGTGACAAGAAGTCAACAAAAAGTAAAAGAATATAGACAATAATTTGATATTGTAATAGAGGGAAGTAACTGTGAACTTTGCAAATTGCTACCTTTGGTGAAAAACTTTACACTTTGACCAATATTTGTCCAAGTTTTAAAACTTCAACTAGCATTAGTTTTCAAAATATCTAGTAAAATCAAATGTACATATTTGTCGTTGTTAAGTATAATAAAACAAAAGTTACAGGTTTCATATTGTTAATAGTAATATACGTTGTCAGGAAATAATTAATCTATCCAATATGATCCCATGGAGTCCACCAATGCATGAAAGAAATGGGTCATTGATTTGGCGAAAAATAGTTTGGACAAACATTGGAAAGAAATTTAACTAATGCCTATTGTTAGGCACCACAACAAATATAATGCCGCGCCATGTCTAAATTTGTGCAAAAGAGGACAGCTTAGCTTGTTCCCTTGCTTAACTTGACTTTTCTGCCATTAAAAGTGGTCATCATTTAGATTACTACCAAATTCTACCTCAGTCGGTTAGAGAACATACTACCATGATCACTGATACAAACCCGCGAAGGACTGATTTAGTGCTCATTGAATATGGTTTCTGGAAGCATAATTCAAATTCTTTTTGCAGATTAGAATTAAGTAATTGGCTAATTGCAATTACTACCATTATAATGCAGTACTCCTCCATCTTTTGTTCCGTTACACTATGTCCTTTACTGGTCGATCTCCAATCTATCTGCGTCCTATCACGCTACCACAATCCCTCCCTTGGTCCCTCTTGGTAAGGATGTAAGGTAACCATTGGCAAAAGAACTCAAATAGTAAACTATTTTTCATTTTTACCTCCGACTGCTATTTTTTACATAGAGGCAGCCCACCACTCACCTGTACTTTCGTATCCCCATGGGCCATATTGGTTCCTGCTAACCTCCCACCCAAAGCTACAACAAAAGTAGCTGTCATTTCAATGTTTTTAAAAGGTAAATATAAACGTCCATGTTTTACTGCTAGGAGAATATATAATACAAAAAAAAACTATATAAAGCCCTTTCCAATTGCTATTTTCTGACCGTTCAAGCTTCTCTTCTACTTGCATTACCTTTCTCTAAATGCTAGACCACAGCACCCACACAATAAAATGTTGAAGTCCTAATTTAACTTCCATATGC